CTGCTATTCACTTCTGTCTGACACAGGATACTGATTTAACCCACGTGAAACTTTTGATATGCTGTTCAAGAACCAGTCTTACAGTTGTTTCAGCGGTCACAGAAGATGCTAAAAGAAAAAAAAATACTTAAGGGAAACGATATTTATTAAACTCCAAAATTCGTAAAGAATTTACCTGAATTGAATCTCGATTATATTTATCTATATTCCCAGCATTCCAAAATCTAAGTGGGAAGCTTTTGATTGACATCAGTTCCTTCTCCAGTCTTGTTAGAAAGAATAGGAGATGGAAGAGGAAGAATGTAACTGCTGAATTTATATCTTTTGCTTTTCAGTAATAGATTAGTATCAGTTCTCATAAATCAAGTGAGCATTTTACAGAGGTGGGTAAACTGTATGCAGTAAGAAAAAATGTAATTACTCTTTTAAAAGGGCATTTTCTTGATACATATTTGCTTCACAGTGAGTAGCTAGGTATTTTTGCAAGTTAAGTTTGAGCCAGTAACTCAAGGACTCATCTCCCCAACATTTTGCAGGAGCTGGATTTGGAAAGAGTTGAGTTGCAGCAGTAAAGAACGTGAACACAGGCTTCTTTACCCATTTGAACAGGCACCTCACCCTTGTTAATTACCATCTTCTCATCTAGGTTGTGGTATCTCTTTTTTTATCAGTGTAGGTGGACCGAGCATTATGCAGAGACAAAAGATCAGGAACAAAATCTTACATGCTTTGACAGTTCATTTTTGCCTGAAGGTGTGTGTCTGTACCCACTTCTTGCAATGAAAAGTGTTAGCTCTGACTGCTCCAGGAAATTCTGCTGTAAAATTTGGCACCAGGTAACACTGTACTTGTGCAGATCATTGTGGCTTGATAATTCGCAGCTTGGAGAGCATCCCTTATGTGATTATTGCGTGGGATATAGGTTCATTAAAGGTGTCTGGTGTACGCTGCTTTACCTGGATTTTACATTTTCTGATGGCAGAAAAAACAAGTGAGGTTTGTCCTGTTTCTGTACATTTGGCTAACATCTAGCTTAAAGAACAAGAGGAAAGCTGTATCTGGGCAAAATATAATACTGGACTCATTGTTTCAAAATCAGAATGGTCAACAAAAATACCAAAATAAAACATAATACTAGCAACAGAATTATTTTTTAGTGACTTTGTCCTTTATCACCTATAATTATACTGCGGTGGTTTAGTCTGGAATTTGGCATTAGTGAACTGTTGAGTCTGCCATGGCTGCTTCCCTACTAGCTGTTTTTGTAGGCTTTAGCCTCTCAAATGTACTATGTTATATTCCCCTCTTTTCAGAACTGGAAAAGCATGAAGGCCGGGTGTGCCTATCCAGGCCAGCAGTTACCAGTTTAATGATAATGAGTTTTACTTCCAAACTACCTTTCTGACAGGAACAGGCTTGACACTTCAGTGTTACTGGTTCATTCAACATAGTTTTCTTGGCTTTGTGGTGTTTCATACGTTATGCATCATAAAAAGTGAGACTTAAGTTAACTCTGATCTAAGGTTTTCAGTACACGGCTGGTTCTCTCTAGAGATGACAGGTGATATGCTAGTCATATCATTTGCTCACATGTAATATAGCACTTAGAATCTACCTCATCTTTGCTCGCTTCCTGCGGTTGTGGTTGGTGGGAACTGTTCTGCTTGATTCTTTTTTTTGGCTCTTAAGCTCCTCTTACAAAGATGGGTTGGAGTGCATTGTAATGGAGGAGGAGGAGGATGGTTTCTCCTTCTTGGGGAGCTACTGAACAAGTGTTGGGGAAGAAAAATATTCAGAAACTGCACTGTGGCAAGCAGAAGAGTTTCAGCAAGGTGCTGGAAGCATGTCTTCTACTGAGGAGGATGAGAAATCGCAGTGAGAGCTGGGGAACAGACAGTTGAACCTCAGGAGAGGTTGGAACAGCTTGCTTCAGTGTTGGAGGAGTTAGACTATTATTTTTCTTTCGCTTTCTTTTTTTTCTTTGTTTGGTTTTTTTTTTTTTTTTGGTGTTGGTAGAGCCAGAGAGTATGTATTAAGGCATGACGACTTTCTCTAAACAGCTAATTCACTGCACAGTTGCTGACTGTGACAAAAGCTTGCTTATGCCTTTCACAGTTACCAAGCAGATAAAATATTCAAGCCTGTCTGTACTGATGTCAGTGAAGGGAGTGGGTACAGAATTCAGGGAGTGCTGTGTAATTCCGTGTCAGCAGACACTTTTCTCAGTTGTGCTTTTGTGAATGGTTGGTGGTTTGTGGTTTTTTGTTGGTTAGTTGTTTGTTTGGGGTTATTTTTGCTGGGCATGGAGTAGAGATGGGGAACTTTGGAGAGCTGGCTCTCCAGATTCCTCTAGTCTGATAAGCTTTTCCCTAGCAAACAGAACAGGTGTATAGGTTTACTGTTTGATTCCATTGATCGACAATGTAGCAGTTACAGCAGTTAAGGCAAAACATTGTAACTGATAAACCGTTTCCCTTTCTAATATCCTCATGTATACTGGCAACAAATATGAATACTTTTATGTTGTGGCTTAACTTGATTGTTAGGTTTTGTGTGGGTTTTAAAGGAGGAGAGGGAAATTGTCTTCGTTATTAGGTAAGTCAAAAAGTTTTTTTTGACAGTGAAAGAAGGATCAAGAACAAATGTTTGCTTATGGAGACATGAAATTAGGAGGACTCATCAAGCAAAGCAGAGATTTACAGTAGTAGAGTGCAGATATATTCTACTGTTAGTGACGATGCAATTTATTGAAGGTTAATAATGGTGTCTTTGAATTAATATCATGGGTTTTAGCATCTATCCGTTTAGCCCGTGTTTCATAAGTAGGAGGTTCTGTCTGTTTCCACAATCACTTTGTAAATTGCAGTATAGTTTGATTAGTGTCACTAAATCCTCCATTCAATGCAACCTTTAATTTACAGCAAATTTATGTTGCTCTGTCTATTGAGACACACCCTCCTCTTCCAATTTGAAAAGCTGTGCAACTGCAATAGCACTTATTAATTAGGCCTGTTAAAGTTAACTGAAAATGACAGAACAACTGCCTATTATTGGTCATCATCAGTTCAGGTACTACAGATAGTGATACTACAGATAGTAATTCTTATCAATGGTCTTGCAGTCCTTGCAATGTTTGGAGCAGGTGACACAGGAGGGAGTGTTACATGGAATACATGTAGCCTGAAAAGAGTGTTACATGGAATACATGTAGCCTGAAAAGTTAAGAGTTAACTATTTTGAATTCCAACATTTAATTTGGAGGAAATTGTAATCTACACTCTTTGTTAGTGCTTTGGTGCTGATACTTGACACGTGTGTGTTAAAAGGCATGAAAAAAATTCTGAAGAGATACCAAAGTCTGAAAAATAATTGCTCAAACTGAGGCGTTTATTGTCACATCAGCTGTTGTAAGCAAAAATTAACAAACCTAAAGCTTGTGTGAAATAAATTGTTAGCATGTCTTGTTACTGAAAGTGTGCTGTTGTTTAACTGTTTGACTTCTGTGTTTTAGACTTCTTAAATTCTAGAATTTATCTCAAGCAGTCTGTATTTTTTTTGTTAAGACATGAACTCAAATGCAATGTACAGATTAAATAGTTGTTGCTCCACATATCTGAGTTCTTAATTCTGTAAAGCATATTACAAAATACAATACCAGAAAAATTCTGGGTTGTAGGTAAGACTACTTTTTAAAGGAGAAGCTACTGGCTGAGCATTCACACACCATTCAAGGAGTTGCACAAACACCACCCAAGACTTTAACTGCTAGGACCAGAATCCATTCACAGTGGGCAACTCCAGTGAGCCAACAGGTGCTCCTTTCAACTCCTCTCTCACACACATACTCACTCTTGAGTGCATTCTCTTCCTTTGGACTTGACCCTAGGTTTCCTGTAGCAAAGCCTCAGGCATCAAATCTTTTAAAAAAATTAATTTTTTCAGATGATACAGCTGGAAAAACAGCTCGAGCTGGGTGCCTCCAGAGAGAGACCCCAAAGAAACCCCTGGATAATTATACCCTTAAAATCTATGCACCTGCTTTTCACGTGCTCTTCACGCACTTGTTTGGTCCCATGGTGACTTCAGGTCTGGGATCTTCCAACACCTTACGGGTTCTTTCTCTCCCTCCAGGCAGGCAGGCTGTCAGGTGTTCTTATCTTGCTGAGTTGCAGCCTCTGCTGATGGTTGTCGCCTCCTTGTCTTCTGGTTTGTGCTTCTTGTGCATGAGTTGCAGCCTCTGCTGATGGTTGTAGCCTCCTTGTCTTCTGGTTTGTGCTTCTTGTGCACCTGCTCGCTGGTGGAACGTGGGAAACTGAAAAGTCCTAGACTTAGGATAAACAGTACTTAGCAACAACCAAAACATCAGTATGTTATCAAGGCTATTCTTGCACTAATTCCAAAACACAGCACCTTACCAGCTACTAAGAAGAATATTAATTCTATCTCAGCCAAAAACGTATCTAGGAGAAAGTTCACAGCTTGTGGTCTAAGGCTTCAGCAAGTCTTGCTACTAAAGCTAAGCAGTGGATTCAATTTGAACTATAACATGACTACTGCAAAACTACTGACTATCTATCAGGAAAAAAATTGCACGTAGACTTTTGTCTAGGGTGTGCTCTGTTTATTTTAAGTTACTGTGTGCAACCTTTCTTAAGGTAATTATTTAGAGTTTCTAGCACAGGAACAGAAATCTTTGGCTCTTCTCATTCTGTCGTAAAAACCTTAAAAATGGTATTTTATTTTGGATAGATGTCCTTTCAGATGATGATACAATGTTAGGTAAGCCTTCAGGAAAAGCAATCAAAATAACAGAAAAGATGTTAACTAAGTAATTCTTCAAGGTAGAAGTTACATATGTTACTTGAAAAAACATTTAATGTAAAGTTCTGTTGTTAGCACACATCGCTGTTTTGTTCCTATCTGGTTTAATGGGGCAAAGCCCAATGTTCTGTTTTTTAAAGTATTAGAATTCTAAAAATATTCTCTCTCTGTTTTGACAGGCCAGTTGGAATGCCAAAAATGGAAAAAGTTTACCTACATAACCCTAGCTCAGAAGAAACAATTACATTAGTATCAATCTCTGCTACAACATCACATTTTCATGCATCATTTTTTCAAAATAGGGTAAGTTATTCCACTTTCTCAAAATAAACTTTTCCTTCCTTCTCCCCACCCTGAATGGGGAGCTTGATTTCCCTCTCCTCTTTAAATGAGTTAATACTTTTTGGTACGTGATTATTGCAGTTATTAAGGTAACTGCAGTTCTTGATCTCATGTCAGTTACCAAGCAAATTGGAACTGAGCACAGAAACACACGCAAACCCTACCAGAAGAGAGGGAATGAAATATTGCATAGGAGTTCTGACTACAGGGGAACTGACGATTTCAGCAGATCTCCTTTGTTGCTGAAGTGTCTAAGTGTACGTTGCCTTAGAGCACATACAGGAGCAAGCTGTTCTTAAAGTTTTTCTGAGAATTTTAAAGTCCAGTGAAGTGGTGTTAGTGTGAAGCAGTCACTCCAATGCACTTATAACTACTGCAGTCATGTTACAGGAACTTGAAAGTTAAAAAGCGTGGTGTCAGCAAGGTTAACGCTTAACCACATTACTGTCAGACATAGCCTTCTAGTTTCAGTTTTATCTGCAGGGCCTCAGCTTAGCAGGGGCCGTGTAAACACTAAAAACTTCAGAAAACCTGTCTGTAAGCAACTTTTCTTACTTATGGAAATCTTGTAGTAATTGCCTTTCTTCAGCGTTCTATAAACTGTCAGTCCAAAATATTTCTGTGATAAGCTGAACTATAAATACAGAATTCAACATAAAAATTCAATTAAATGTCCTACATTAGATAACAGTTGTAAAATATTGGTATTGTTACCAATAAAGATGTTACACATCTGTTTTGTCTGAAACTTCTACTCTTTTTTTTTTCCCAAATCTGCAGTAGACATTCTGACTTCAGTTTTTCATGAAGAACAAACAGAGATCTGTAGCAAAAAACCTATTGTTCGTCTGCAGGGCGGAATGTCTTTGATAAACAGTTTTGCTTATTCCTCTGCTTGTTTGCTTTTATTTTTTCCAGAAAATTCTTCCAGGAGGGAATACGTCCTTTGATGTAGTTTTCCTCGCAAGAGTAGTGGGAAATGTAGAGAACACTTTATTTATTAACACTTCTAATCATGGGGTATTTACTTATCAGGTAAGAGAATTACACTCTTTCAGAAGAAGTTGTGAAGTGTGAATCAACCAGAGCAGTATCTATCATGGCATACTTAGCCATCCAAGGATATTTGCACATTAGTGTTTTTTTTTTTATCAGTCCAGATGAAGTTCAAGTTTCCATCCTTGCTTCTTGTTGTAACACAAAGGTATACCATTGTAAATATCTGTAGGGGCAGTACTGTAAGCCAGATTGATGAAATTATGTAGGGTTTTGTCGTGGGTTAGGCTGCTCCAGCAACCGAACCCACACAGCCGGTCACTCACTCTCCCCCACCCCCAGGAATGAGGGAGAGAATTAAAGGAGAAATGGGAAACCTGTGGCTTGAAATAAGAACAATTTAATGCAGCCCGTCTCATCCCGAAGCTGCAATCCCGGACGAACGCGAGGGCCCAAAATAGAGAGGGACAGAGAGAGAGAGAGAGTACTCCGAGAGTGGGAGTACTGGGAGAGAGAGGAAAAAAAAACAATAGAGCAAAAGCGCAGCAAGCGCAAAAGAGCAGAAGTGGCGAAAGAGCCAAAGCGCAAAAGCCCTTCTGTCCGGCTGACCCTCACCTTAATACTGGGCATGACGCTGCATGATATGGAATACTAATTGGCCAGTTTGGCCCTCAATCTTAAGTTCCACCACAAATCACAAGGGGAGTCATGTCCCCCTTGTCCCAACTATGCTCCCCCCTTATTCCGCCGTGCTTCTGCACTCCGGCACACTGAAAAGTCCTTGGAGTCTCACGTCCAACGACAAACATCAACTTGCTATCAGCATTCTTCTCAGAGCGAGCCTCTGAGTAAAACCAAAACACGAAGCTCTTTTAGCTGCTAAAAAGAAGAGCTAACACTGTCCCAGCTAAAACCAGGACAGGTTTAAAATCCTCCCAACAACTTTTTTGTGTGTATTACTTTAGTGGCTCATTGCAGTGATCTGGCTCATTCTTTAGCTCTGTACTCATCTGATCCAGTGACAAGGCAATGTTATTCATTAAACTGGCAAAAAATTACTCACTTGAGATTCAGAAAGATGAACCAGACAGATGAGAGAGTCAAAAGTCTGAAAAGTAAGAGAAAACCTCTGATTGAGAGAATGTGACTCTTACCATGGCAATGATGGAAAACAACAAAAACGCTTCCCATATGGATACTCTGTTGCGTAATTGTATGATTAAAGGATATTTCAACTCTTTTTAACGTTTAGCTGGTATCTAGTATTTCAGAGCATCAGAAAGAAAAATGGTATTTGACTTCCTGTGTTCTAAATATGTCAATGTAAGTAAGTAGTAGCTATGAGAAATACCCTTTAGCTGCAAACTAAACCAGTTTCTTTATTTCAGTACTTTAGCATGATGTTGGTTTTAAATGTTTGGTTAGATGTATACTGTAAAATTAATTGAGAAGAGTACTTGGTAGATTACTAAAATTAGTGCATGTATGTTAGGCTCTGCAACAATTGCATGCAACTACTTAAGCTCATTTTTCTTTTTCTGAACCAGGTGTTTGGCATTGGAGTACCGAACCCCTATCGATTGCGCCCATTTATTGGGGCACGAGTTCCTGTAAATAGCAGTTTTTCTCCTATAATAAATATACATAACCCTCACAGTGAACCTTTGCAGGTGAGCCTGAGAGAAAACTAATGAATGCTCCTTTATGTATATGATATTAAAATGAAATTTTGTTCAGTTTGGTACTTATAATATGAAAGACAGAATTTTATTATGGTTTTTCATATTATATAAATGTTTTTTGTTTAAATGCAAATCAGTTCTAGAAATATTAGACTTTGCTGAATTGAGATTTTATTGTGAAATTTCCATTTTTAAAATGATCATAATTACTGCAAAATAAAGAGTTAAACTTCATTGGTAATTAAGAAAAGACTAAGGAAATGAAATAGATCTTGTACTTTTAATCCAGGCAGGCCTCTTAGCTTCCTTCTGCTCGTTTTGCACAGTGTAAGATGTCTTTATGGTGCACCCTAGTATGTAACGGTAACAAGTGCTCTTATGTTAGGGCAGGATTGATGTCTGTACCTAACCAAACAAGCAAATGAATAGTCCACTGATAAATGTGATCTGATTCTGATAAGTGATCCACAAACTGTGAAATGCTACAGAAAGCACATGAAGTGTAGCACTGGCAAATGGTTATGTCATCATTAAAAGCAAATTCATAAGATACTCCAGTGGTCAAATAGTTGCTAACTCATACCATTGCTCATTACAATACCTGATAACTAAACCAGGATCCCTTTAAAGTTGAGTGCTAACATTTTCCTGTTATCCACCTCAGGTAGTAGAAATGTATTCCAGTGGAGGTGATCTCCATTTAGAGCTTCCAACAGGTCAGCAAGGAGGTACAAGGAAGCTATGGGTGAGTATTCACGTCCTGCAACATGCATTGTACTTGTTTGGGAGATTTGATTTTCATACGATTTTAGGGTTGTTTTTTTTTTTACCAACTTTGTTTCTTGTCATGTAATCGTTAAAAATACCCTATAAAAATCAAAACGGTAACAGGGTCTGTTAATTGTAGAGTAATAGAAATTGAAGGAAAGTTTTAATTAAAAAAAGCTGTCTGTATTGAGCTGTGCTTTTTTGCAATGAGAGGTACAAGATGATTCCCAGTAGAATGAATTACACCTACCTAAGCATTCAGGACAACGTAGTCCTTCTGATGGCCTGTGAGTTAGATCTAACCCACAGGAAAAGTATACAGAATTTTTATTTATTTACTTATTTATTTAAACTGAGAAAGTCCTTCCTGCAAATCACTATGAATGCATACATGGGTTGAAAAAGCAGCTGAATGAACTTGGGGAAGAAGACTCTATTAAGGACAACTAAATAAAACTGCAGTGTGTCTAGGTGCAATAAATCCCTAGATCATGAGTTGAGAGTGGCTGGAAAGTGGTCTGGAAAATATTCTTATGTGCATGCCGTGCAGTTACTCTTTATTCTTCATGTCTATGACTGGAGATGGAGTAGTGGGTTGGATGGACTCATGGTCTGGCCCATTAAATCTGTTTTGTTGTGTTCTTCATGTAATGTAGTTTTGAAGTAACACATACTATTATCTTTAAGTGAAATAAATTTTAGAAGCATCCTAAAGGTAAAATACTGGCTCCATGCTGTATATCACACCGTTGGTGATGTCCAACTAGATACAAAACCGATTTTCCTCTTCAATTAGAATTATTCGTTTTTTTAATGACTTTATTTTTTTGTCTGGGAAAGACTTTGAAGTCGTTGGGCTCCAAAACTTGTCTGTTACTCAAGTGTATCATTACAGTCACTGACAGTTATGTCTGTTGTAATGAGTAAAGCCAGAATATTTCCAAGTGAGCTAAGAAGAAGGATCACAAAACTTAGTTCCTGGCTTTTCTGGAGAAGGTCCATGAGAATGGCAGTATCTTAGTTTTAGATACAAAAGTTTCAAACAAATATGTATA